TTGGCAAATTTTATGTTTGTTTGTCTTTATGTACAAAATAAGAAACTGGAAGGCTCATCCTTGAATAAACAAAGTCTTTCACCTCGGTTAAAATAACTGCTGCTGTTTGACCCTTGCGACGTAAGCTAAAACTTCGCCTTAGGTAAGCAGCAACATCTTCCTTGGACAAGCCAGACAACAAAACAAGCAACTCATTCAAAAGGCGCATGGAGGTGAAGGATATCACCTCAGCCTTCTTGTTTTTAACCTGGAAACAGGAAGGAGCCACAAAACCATCCAAAGTGCGAACAGTACGCATCATGGTAGCAAAAAAAGCATGCGGAGTAACCCTCGTAATTTCCCCATAATATGGTTTTCTGATGCTTTTTTTGCCACCAAGTCGTCGACGAATCCCCATTAGCCAAATTTGTGACTCCTCCTTTAAGAGCTTAGCTGGATTGATAGAAAGTACCATCAATCTCAGCGAACTATTGTTGTGTGTCGAAGTCGACCTCTGCAAGTTGAAGCGTAGCTTGCACTTGCCCAACACACCGCTTTGAGACAATTTCCACATGTTCGCATTGCATGTCACTTGCAATGCGAAAATTGCCTCTTCAACTTTTGTTAAGGAGGAAGGTGGCTGCTGAACGGCGCTGTTGTATACGTCTTCTTGATGTAATTTTTCTTCTGCTGAAAATCGCACATTAGAAACAGCCGCCATTTTCATTAATTAATTATTTTAATCAAGTATTTTGTGCAAAAACCGCTGGACACAATGACTTACAAACTAGCGTTTTGGCATACAAAAATGCCAGGCGTGGAATGTAGTATAAAAGTAAAATACCTTTTCAGCATTTAAATCCATCAAATGGTTGCCCCAAAGTCCACACAAATACAAGGAAAAATAAACGCAAATATCAATGTATTGAAGAAATTGTGTTGTTTCTCATTTGTTGACCAGAAAATAGTCGTATGTCACTCGTATGTACTCGTATGTTACTCGTAAGTACTTGTATGTTACTCGTATGTACTGTATGTCACTCGTATGTACTGTATGTTACTCGTATGTACTCGTGTGGTGTTTTAGTCACGATCGTTTAATCATAGCATTCCAATTTCTATCCAATCGGCATGCACAAACGACGCGCAGTTCACCTTATATGGAGGTGAGTGCTTCAATGCTCAATCGATTCTCGTCAGTCATACGTTTTCATCATAAAATTAAAAGATAAATTCCTTGCCATTTTGAATGAAAACATTTTTGATTCTTTTAAATGTCTTGATTGTTTTGATTTTTGAGTTTTAAAATGCTTTTTGATTAAAAGTATGATACGTTGTTTACTCAACCGAACAATCGTCCGCATGTTTACAAACGTAGAAACGGACTATATTATAAAACTGTAGTTTTGTTTCCATTATTTCCTTTATAACATTTTGATAGAACCTTTTTTCCGATGATTCTGTGCGACTGCGATAAAATGATGTATAGTTATCGCAAAGAGCAAACGTTTCATCATATTCATATTTCATGGTTGAACTCGCACCATGCGTTTAAATTATTTTTGAGGTTTTGTTAAATCCACACCGATATTTCAAGTAATAGTAAAAGCTCTAACGAAAATAAATACATGCTTACACTATATTTTGCTCACCGTCTGACCAAAGAGCGCAAGATAAAAAATGTGAACCGAGCTGGCTAAATACGGCACGGTGAATCGATTTCATGTGTTTTTCGCCAAACGAGATACGTGTAATTGATGTCGGTAATCACTCGATTTTGGTATCTACTGTATAACGTTGTTTAGGCCGCATATCTACTCGGATTCCAGACATTTAAAATCAAAGAGAAACTAACAGGAGTTCCGAAAGGTTCTACCTTATTGTGATTGTTCTTCCCCCCTCATTCCGTAAAAATCCCCCCCGGAAATGTTAACAGACAGAACGACACAAATCGAGATTTTACCATTGAGTTCTATAATAACTGGAGCGGCTATCTTTACTGGGGCGAGGTCGCCAAAAAAATGGCGGCCAACGGACGTATTTCCGCTGAAATGATCGCTTTGCAGAAAAATAATATTCTCGACCTCCCCCGGATTGATGTTATTGATTTTCCCGCCTTCAGTTGAAAATTTCAAATTCAATTGCGAGCTGTATGATAAATAAACAATATTTTTCAAGGCCAAAACAATATTTTTTTCAAAAATGCCTAATCGATGTTCAATCGTAGAATGTCGTAATGTTGACAACACGAAGGACATCGCTTTTCACAGGTGAGTTATTCGCTTAGTTTGTTTGTTCCTTAAAGATTGAATCGGCATTTATACAATTGAAAGCCCCAAAATCTGTTAGGCCTTATGAAAAAAAATTCTCTTAAATACTGCATACACTGATGTTTTCATGTGTGTTTTTTTACAAAATTCAACAATTTTTTTTATTTATTTGTTGAATCAACGCATGAAGCAATAAATTTACTAATCTATTTCAAATAGTTTTCCTGACGAAGAAAAAAACCCTGCACTTTTTTCGGAATGGGTAAATAGTATAAAGAAATGGTCGCCTCTCACAGTTCTAACTAAGTGGAGCAGAGTTTGCTCAGATCATTTTTCCGATAGCATGAAGAGAATATCAGGTAACAAAGTGTGTCTAGAAGATAGTGCCGTGCCCACATTATTTCAACAGGTGCAGGATGTTGAATGCACGGAGAGCACTGAAAAGGTGAGTGGTCATTTTTCTATTCATGATCACTCATATTGTCTTAAGTCTCCCAGGAGACTGAAAAGACAATTGGAAGATGTTATAGACCGGGCAGAGTATTATAGAAAGAGGTTAAAAGTGTCTAATAAGAAAAAAAGTAGACTGAAAAAGAAGGTAAATGATTTATTGTCAATCATTGATTGCCTTAAAGATGATAAAATGATCAGCTCTGATCAAGCTGAACTTCTTAATGCTTCACTATCTGGGGTTCCTGAAGATATTTTGAGTCGTTTAGTGGCAAACACTCAGGGTAAAAAAGGTGCTCAATACCCCCCCAGAATTGCAAGCTTTTGCACTAACTTTGAAATTTTACTCGCCTAAGGCTTATGATTATGTTCGTGAGAAGTTTAATTTAGCCTTACCTCATCCAAGAGTAATTCGATCTTGGTATAATTCCGTGGATGGTGACCCTGGTTTCACCAAGGATGCCTTGAATGCTTTGAAAGTGAAGGTTCAAGAATCAAAGAAAGATGGCAAGGAAGTCATATGTGCATTGATGCTGGATGAAATGTCAATCCGCAAACACGTAGAATGGGATGGTCAAAAAGTTTGTGGTTATGTTGACCTTGGTACTGGGATTGATGATGATTCACTCCCTGAAGCAAAAGAAGTTTTGGTATACATGGCTGTTGCTCTAGATTCATCCTGGAAAGTACCAGTTGGTTACTTCTTGGTAGATGGCCTCACTGCAGAAGTAAAAGCAAATCTAACCAAGGAGTGTTTGATGCAGTTGCATGATGTTGGTGTTAAAGTTGGAAGTTTAACGTGTGATGGTCCATCCACACACCTTGCAATGATGAAGTTGCTTGGAGTGAAACTTTCACTTAATGATTTTCAAGCATATTTTTACATCCATCTGATTTAATGTTGAAAATTCATGCATTTTAGATCCTTGTCATATGATCAAGCTTGTCAGAGGAGCAATTTCTGAATTGAGAACTCTGAAGGATGAAAAAGATGGTTTGGTAAGATGGCAATACTTAGTTGAGCTAGAAAAACTGCAAGCCTCAGAGGGCTTGCGACTTGCCAACAAACTAAAGAAAGCTCACATAAACTGGAAGCCACAGAAAATGAAGGTAAATTTAGCAGTGCAAGCACTCAGCTCGAGTGTTGCAGATGCTTTAGAGTTCTGTGAAGGTAAGCTCAAACTTCCACAGTTTAAAGGGTGTGATAAAACAGTCAAATTCATTCGAGTATTTGATCGCTTGTTTGACGTTTTGAATTCCAGGAATCCAATTTCTAAAAATTACAAAGCACCAATAAGGAAAGCGAATTACAAGCTGATAAAAACCTTCCTGGATGAAGCAAGGCAATACATCTTAAATCTGAAGGGTGCTGATGGAAAGTCGATTTTTTCCCATAAGAGGAAAACAGGATTCTTGGGGTTTCTGTTGTGCATTGAAGCAGTGCAAGGGCTTGCTGAGGATCTTGTTATAAGTGACAATTCTCCCCTTAAATATTTGCTTACTTATAAGACAAGTCAAGATCATTTAGAATTGTTTTTTTCAGCTGTGCGAGCGTCAGGAGGTTGGAACAACAACCCGACATCTCGACAGTTCAAAGCAGCGTACAAGCAGCTGTTGATGCGACATAACATTAAAGGAGGTCATGGAAATTGTGTTGCTCAGGATGGTACCGAAATTCTAAGTAGACTAGAAGATCGGTGTGAGAGTGAACAAATGTCGGCAGATATTTCCGATGTAAATACTGCAAGAAGATACGATCTAGAACTGCGTGGGCCAGAACAAACTGACCACGATTACAGCGACACCTCAAACTACATTCAGCTTTCAGACTACAAGGAGGCAGCAATATCGTATATTGCTGGCTATGTCGCAAAATGGTGAAAAGGAAGATCCATTGTGATGATTGTATGGATGCTCTGACATCATCTAAAGAAAGAGCACCAGAACTATTTGTGGCATGGAAGAGCAACGGTGGTTTAAAAATACCAACTGACGATCTTCTGAAAGTGTGTCAGGAAACAGAGAAATGTGTAATGAGGATGGTAAATTCCTGCCATGGTGGCTTGCCACATGCAGCAAACATATCGAGCGCAATTGCTGCGACGGTATTATCTGTGTGTAGAGAAAAAGTTTTAGCATGTTAGATGAGCATGTGTTAGAGTCGACAGTTACAGATAATCATGCTTATAAACTGATAAAGTGTTGTGCTGAGGCATTTGTGAAAATAAGAATGCATCACTTGACCAAAACGCAAAACGATAAGTTGCATAGTCAGAAAATTCGTAAAAGCTGTCTGCTTGTGTTGTTCAATCATCAGTAGATTGAACGTTGCCTGGACACTATTGTGTTTTCGAGGCTTTGCCTGTGCCTAGAAATGGAATTTTTCATTTGACTATTCCATTTTTTTGAGGCTGTAGGCGTCCTGGCACATAGCAATATGTGTTTCGAGGAGAAATTTAATGGTGCCTGCACATTTGTGTTCGAGGCTTAAAAATGTAACATGAAATTATAACCTAGTTTACGTAACTAAACAATTAAAAAGAATGAGAAGTAATTCGAAATGCAAGTCTTCTATGTGAGTATTCCTCTACAACATAGTAGAACATAGAACCACAATAGCACAATATTCATTTTGAACTATTTTTTTATACAAAAAATACTCAACAAAACAGCCCAATTGGACGACATAAGAAAACTATTTTGTGGTCCTAACATTGATAGCACTTTCAATCAGATCGAGCGTTGTAGTAAGTGCTTTTTTCAAAATTAAACCAGTCTGTCAATTGATAAATGAATTGTTAACGTTCTTTTAAAATAAACGTTACTCAATATTAAACGCACGTGTTTAACTTACAGGTGACATTATGAATATTGCCGGGATGATCTGCATGCGGAAGTCCTTGAACAACGTTCATGATGCGTAACATTTTATCTTTAACATTTTTGTACCTTATAGTTCAACGAGTTCACATTGTTTATATAGTTTCTTGACTTGTAAAAAGCCAATGGTTAAACTTCGAATAACTTGAAAAAAAAATTTAGAAGAATGTTACTTGAATTCGGGGTGTGACTTGAGTCCCGAGAATGGAGAGGGGAAACGTTGCAGAATTTGATTTGCCCAACAAAAACGTATTGTAATTTTGTATGTTAATACCAGCAAAATCGCTTTTTACTTAGTTATGAGTTGATCCAAACGTCATCGCTAATATTTGCCTTTTTAATTTCCGCAAAATTACATGCTTTGCTCGACAAAACTGCTAACTTTTTGAAGGGGAGAGGCTGAGCCACCACATATCAATCCCCTCTCCAGGATTTACACCCCTGTTTCAACGTTACTGATACAGCAATTTATGATTTGTGCACGCTAAATTTACATGTATACTATCATGGGAATCATCTCTTACAAACTATAAAAAACTTTAAAATTCAATGCAATATTTAGTTCTTCATAGTTAAAAAAAAAAAGTTTGATTTGTTAACCAATCAGAATACAGCATTGGCGTTTGTCATTTGCGTTTTTTCCCGCTTTTTTTTTAAATACTATAAATATTTTTAAAACTTGTCTGAATTTTCCTTTGCTTATTTCTTGTTTTTATTGTATTTGCCAACTTTCTATTGTGGTCCATGGATGAAAAAGAGGTTAGTACAGATCAACAATTTAATAATTTCTGATCTGAAAAGCTTTATATGAAGCTTTCAGCATGGAAGTAAACAAAAAGTGATTCATTTACATGGTTTAAATCCCTTCTTGCAAAATATCTATTTACACTTTATCGTTTTTGCATACAAAACACCAGATGCTAGATTATACAGATGAGAAAAAGCAATGGACACTGGTATCAAATGTGTAAAATTTGTTTTTGTTTTGAAAACTGAAAATCACTCAAATAGTTCAATTGCATTCAAAACAGGTCAGGAAACTGAAGAGGAATATAACGAAAATGCAAGTGTGTATTTAGCCAAAATGGTTATACTGTTTAATGATTGTTTTTTGCTTTATTACACAATACAACAATGCATCAAAATGTGCTAAAAATTTACTACTATTTGAGGTGGCTCCAATTCTGAAAACCAAAAAAATAAAGAAGGTAAACAGTGCTTTGTATACAATACTGTTCTCATTCATATATGATATATGCCCATCAGCTCTCTCATGACACTTTTTTCTTTTCACCGAGAGTCTTTTAACCTGAAATTTAATCATACACATAACAAATCAAACAGCACCTAACAAACGATTTGTTTATTTAGAAAGCAATGTCGAAGCAAAAAGTTCATTTAAAGGTGTGGTATAGTGTATACATGTACTAATTGCCTTTGATGCCTGGCTGATAATTGCCATTGCTTTTTTTAATGAAGGAAGATGCTATAATTGTGGCCACAAAGGCCACAAAATGAATGAATGCAAGAAAAGTAATGACAAAAAATGAAATAACATTTCTTTCATGACCATTGTAATTGACAATTATATACTTTTTTTGTATAGAGTTTAATCGTATGAGAAGAAGTAAGTTTGATTGACCTAGTGATAAAACATCAGCTTGATTAGATGGTTGAAAACTTCAAGTTGCATGCATTATTGTTAACAGAAATAAGCTAATGACACAAACAAATAAAAAGTGTCATGAACTACAACTTCCTTATGAATATTTAACAGGAAGACGTTGCTACATATGCAAAAGATTGGGCCATGTTGCCAAGCAGTGTAGGGAAGGAAACCCACCAGTCAAAAACGTGCTGAACAATTGCAGCAACTGCACAATAAACCTTACAAGGAAATAAATTTTAAATATTTTTTTTGGACATTTAGTCATCTTTAGCAGAAATACAAAAAGATTATATATTGTTTTTTTTCTCAAAACTTCATTAAAAGAAAATTCTTATTGCAAATATGTTGTGTAACTTAGTCTGATTTCACTAATATACATTACCACATTGACATAAATATGACTATAGAGTACTCTTTAAGAGTTAAGTAAAGAACAAATTCTGAAGAAACAAGACATCTTGAGATGTAAAAATGTGAATCAAAACAAGACATGAACTGTAAAATTTCGATTTATTTCAAAGTCATCCACAGACAGAATGATAATCGAAACCATGCATACACATATATTAAGAAATGGTTTGTTAACACGGGACTTAGGCTAGCAAAGAATTACAACTCTTCTCTTAAATTACAATACACTCATTCCACCAGTCTGGTGTCTTGTTTCAATTCATCCTATTAAAATATGACAGCTCTTCCAACTCCGCTTTTGCAAATATCAAACTATTTAATTTCTATTGTTTGACTTTCGTTACTTAATTCATGCATTGTAAATATATATGTGTATGCATGGTTTGGATTATCATTCTGTCTGAGGATGACTTTGAAATAAATCGAAATTTTACAGTTCACTTCGCGTTTTGTTTTCATTCACATTTTTTCATCTCGAGATATCTCGTTTCTTCAGAATTTGTTTTTTACTATCTTTTTTAAATTGTCGGCTGGACATGGCTTTAAGACTTTCTCCTTACCTTGAAAAGAGACCACATCGTCCACATCGTCCACATCGTCCACATGTACATTAGACACGACGTTTAAAAACGATCAAACGCAGCCAACAAAGAGTTCTTTCGTACATAGTTTATAGTTAATATCTTTCCTCGTAGGAGCCGATAACTGGAAAGCTAGGTTGACTCGCTGTTACGAATTGTAGGTTTTTATCGTGATTTTTATCAAAAAATTGCTTGCCGAATCCCAAATACACACATACATTTTCCTCACTCTTTCATCAGGAGGGAGTGGGAAATTGTGAAATTTTCGGAAAAGCGGTCAATTTCGGTAAATCTCAGCGGCAACGGACGAAATCCGCCATTTTTTTGGCGTCACCAGATATCTAAGGCCGCGCTTGAGATAGCCGCTCCAGTTATTATTGAACTCAATGGATTTTACCTCTATATAGGTCGAGTAGAGGAATGGGCCGAGACATGTCAAGATTAGTGTGCTGCCACGCTAATGCGTGGCAGCAATTACCTATCAATGTGGTAATGTATAATTGATGCAAATCGTTTGTGGTCGATTTAAATATTAAAATATAGTCGTTTTGTTTAATAAACAGATCATTTGTGTTTATATGATGAAACGCAATTTGATATACTAAGCATAAATATATATTATCGTATTGTCCAATAGATGTAGCGCTATTTAGCTTATAGTTTCGTTTCACGTTGAATTTTCTTTTCTCAGAAGTTAGAATCGTCTTATATACGTAATAATATCATCTGTGTATCTACTGAAAATGTGGATGCACAGTCAATGAATCCAAGTGAACGAGTATTCTGCCATTTAGTCAAACCTTTTATACAATAGCGATAACGAGTAGCTAAACAATACGGCTTTAAAATCAATGTTTTACACAATTTTACTCACCAAATATGACCAAAACGACTATTTCTTCTTTCCACACTTATTATTTCGTTTCATAACGTAGAGTCACAGTTTTATATTGAAATATTTCTTCAATTTTCCCTTTCTTCGTATTGTAATGTACACATCATTGAAATGTAAAGGATGGGCTCATCACAAGATCATTCTGATTCACAACTTGTAACTGGATACAGCTGTAAAGTAAACAATAATCATGTTCATTGTCCATATATGGTTCTCACCAGATTTATATTTTTACAGAGACTTTACCAATATTTTAGCGGAGAAGAGATCAGTTACACGAAGGTCGAATAACGCTATCCATTGAACTGAGTAGCAACGTTTTTGAGCGCTTCAAAAATATCTTAAAAGGGAAAAATCAAAGATTCGAACTGGACAATAAATGAAATACAATCATGAATTACAAAGTTTCATCATCATTAACAAAATAAAACCATGCACATTCACAAATTTAAAAAACTACTATCCAATGGATAACGCTATCCACGCTTCGTGCAACAGACTCCAGTATAAATTTAAAAAACTACTATCCAATGGATAACGCTATCCACGCTTCGTGCAACAGGCTCCAGTATAAATTTAAAAAACTACTATCCAATGGATAACGCTATCCACGCTTCATGCAACAGACTCCAGTATAAATTTAAAAAACTACTATCCAATGGATAACGCTATCCACGCTTCATGCAACAGGTTCCAGTATAAATTTAAAAAACTACTATCCAATGGATAACGCTATCCACGCTTCGTGCAACAGGCTCCAGTATAAATTTGAAAAACTACTATCCAATGGATAACGCTATCCACGCTTCGTGCAACAGGCTCCAGTATAAATTTGAAAACTACTATCCAATGGATAACGCTATCCACGCTTCGTGCAACAGGCTCCAGTATAAATTTGAAAACTACTATCCAATGGATAACGCTATCCACGCTTCGTGTAACAGGCTCCAGTATAAATTTGAAAAACTACTATCCAATGGATAACGCTATCCACGCTTCGTGCAACAGGCTCCAGTATAAATTTGAAAAACTACTATCCAATGGATAACGCTATCCACGCTTCGTGTAACAGGCTCCAGTATAAATTTGAAAAATTTGAAGAGAATAAAGGCCAAAAATTGTCCAAATGAAAATCGCCAAACTATTTTTCCGAAATTCCAGGGTCAAAGATCAAGAGATGTATTGATTTAATAGGTACTAAGCACCGATCGGCATAACAGACCTTCAATTTCTTATTGTCGTATTGTAAAGAATCTACGAAAATTTGACAAAACTTTTAGATTCAATAAATAATTAACTTCATTAAACTCCTTGAAAAATATGGGTATGTACCTCATACGGTTTTGATACATGGTTGGATACTCTTTTCTGTGATGATTTTTGTAAGTAATTTATAATAACTTCATAAAATAGAAAGTTTGGTAAAGGCTTTGAAAATTAAATTAATGTCCTGTTTTTATAAAAGATCAAATTGTCTTCCTAGCATATTTTTTCTTATATTTATATAACAAATAGCTCTTTCCCTTGAAAGTGACATCGTTCCTGCAAGTTCAATATAGTACGAGAATATTTTTTGTGAACTTTATGTTATATCTGGTGTAGGTGACGTAATATTAAAAATAGAAAAAATTAGAATTACTCAATTAAAATTTAGATATTAAATATTAAAAATTAGAAAAAAATTACAAAAAATGTAAAAAACATAGGGATACATATGTCATTACCCTCTTTAAATTCCTCAAGGATACATCATTTCCCTCATTAAATACTATAACAGTTTGAGATTACTTTTACAAACATTTTATAATTTGTAATTGAACGTTTACATCAGTAATTATACCAGTAAAGCAACTACAAATAGTCTCTATAATTCTGTCAATTAAACGCCTCTCTGTTTTAATGGAGTCTGGTGTATCACCAACAATATGACCATAAGCAATGAGTTTCTAAGAACAAAGAATATGAAATATAGAACTTTATATAAGATGACCTACATGGACATATGGAGGGATAAAGGATTTTGGTTAAAAGACACATGGGAACTTGGAGGATTGAATATGAGTAAGTACTGTGGATAGATAAGGATAGCAATAATGACAAATTTTTTGAAGTATGGATCCTCTAGCTTATTCTGGGAGGAATTTAGGAGGAAAGGAACAAAAAATGTTCTGTAGCAACTTTGTTTGTGCTATCCAATTGTAATGGCTTAGAGACAACGCAATGACAATGTTTCCGAGATTAAATCTATTTCTTACAACTAAAGACTCCAAGTGTCCTAACACATCAAACAAAAACAACTTACTTGTGTACAGTCAAGTGCAATGGTGACAATCCTGGCACATTTTGCTGGACAAACTTTTTCATTGATTAAATTTATTCCTGTTCACTTTGCCTACGAAATACATAAAAGTTTTCAAGGTCATATTTTCCTTTTTAATGTACATCTGCGCTCAAAAAATGTTCTAAATTAAAGCCTCGATGCTCGAAAATAGTACTGTAAACTAATATCTTTCACAATAAAAAAATATACCTACTTTCTTTGCTTAAAAAGACATCGTAGTCACGACTACGAATGTTTTACAAAACATCGTACTCAGATTGATGACGGCTACGTGTTTTTGTTGTCGCTACAATTTTAGTGTTTCGAGATTTTCTCGCGGGTGTAAAATTTAGCTTTAAAAAAACACTACGGTTTTCTATTACATGTAGCGTTCCATGTATTTTAGTTCAATGGAGTGGATACACAATTGAAATGGATGAGTGAATGAGGAATGAAGGTGGATAGACGTGAACACATGAAATGAATATTATTCCATGTGGAACTGGATAGTCGTGTATGTAAGTTGACTTTTTGCGATATAATGTGTGTTTATGGCAATCATAGACAATAAGACCACAATAACGACACATTATAAAGTACGTGTTTTGCACTGTGGTCGATTACGGGAGAATAATGGATCGGGAAAAATGTTTCTGAGCCAAACAAAGCGCGCCATTTAGCCGGAAGTGACGTTTGTCATATAATAAGAGCACAATAATGACAGTTTTCTAACCTCCTGCCAATCTATCTGTCTGTCTGGTAGTTTCATGTTGTCGAAAATTCGAAACACAACTTTAAACACATCACGCCACCAATGTTGGAGAAACGTGTTCCCGTATGTTTTCATGATTTCAAACATCACGGTTAGGCCTCTAGTTGATGGATGAAAAATAGCTCACATTCAAATTATACAATACATACTAATCTATACAGTACATACAACTCAATATTTCCACCATACCTTGTTCTGACATCTAGTTTACATCGGTTGATGATACACGAAAGCTCAAAAAGGACTGGAAACCAGCCTTTCACCCAGACTCTGTCCTGCTCTGATATCCCAACATCCTCTACTCCGTAGTCTTTAAATATTTGTTGGTAAAAGAAAAGAAAACAGACGCCATTAGAAAATGCTACACGAAAAAGCGATTGAAATAGATGATTTGGGTTTGATTTGATCCAAAATGGTTAGCTTTGATGTGATTTTGCGAAATTTTAAATCGCTTCAAAGGTGAAAAGAAAGTAGATTTGCAATCGTCGTACCACAGGATTTTCGCAAACAAATTTGGCGCAATTTCGTATCAATCTTATTGCTTCCATACTTGTGTCCGGGAAACTTGCGTTGCATGCGAATTCAGAGAGACACTTGACGGCATCTTGGAAAGAGTCGATGGTCGCGCAGAAATATTTCTCAAAAATCGTGACTGAAAGAGAAAATGGGGATGTGAAATTTATACACTGATAATCTTGTGGGATAAATGAATCTGTGAAAGCTTTGATTTACAAGTGACGTTGAAACAGTAGAGAAACAGGGTTAGAAAATATAAAAAACTCTGCCTTTTAACTAGTAATTTGCATCAACTAAAAAATGTTTCATACATTTATTTCATTTCTCCATTAACTCTTGTTTAATTTTCATTCATGCATCATGAGGCGAAAATCCATCGACTTATAGTAAATAAAAGTTTACCTCGAAAACTTATATAAATATGGCTGAATTACCATGGAAAAGAACGAACACATAAAATTCTTGTTGAAAAATAAACGAAGCTCTCTGTCACATCCGAGAAACACATTTACTTAAACGATATTCAAATTCAATTTTAATTTAATTTAATAATATTTTACAGATGTCTAAATAGTCCAAGATTGGAAACGGATTCACCATCATTTCTTCAAACATATGCAACCATTTTTATTTTAAAATCTTAAAATTTGCTTCGATACAAGAACCTTACCCAAGAGAACAACAGAGAGGTCGGCGGTAAGATTAGAAGAAAAAGCTCCTTCCTTAAACTACAAACCTGTTGTTTGAAAAGCCAGTTCCACGATTCCTTCATCATGATCGGACGCAGCCAAATGAAAAACGGAGAAAACATTTTTCCAACCAGATTTGATGTTCGCGGCTTGCGAATGCACCATTTGTGTGACACATCGTACGACCATATCACGAATTGTGGAAGAACTAAAATGTGAAAAGTCCAGTTGTTGATTCAAGCAAATCGTAGACTGAAAATTGCAGTCCTTGTTGCCAAGTTCATAAACATATCGCAGAAAGAACTTTAATCAAATCCTTCGAATTATAACAGACAAAACAGAGCGATTGATTGAAAGACGTCCTTTGTAACATTCTTCGTTAAATTTTAACTTCGAAAAGAATCTGCAAAGTCTTCCCCACACATTTTGTTTTATTGAGAGAAAGATTTTCAAGCTGCATGAAACTTTACATTTTCGGACAGAATTGACTCCTGCATAAACGCACCTGTTTTTCTTCACTATACATTCAAAGGGTCGGAGAAAATCCTTTGAAATCAGAAATTTGGCAATTCCCCTTTCCAATGGATAATTGGCAACCACGCTTCTTCATTAGGATTACAACCACACTAAAATGGCACATAAATTATCTAAGATGGAGAAGTACCATAGTTTGATTATCTTGTTTTTATACTTGAGATATGAAAGAAACTAGAACTGTGTTTTAAAATATCATCATAGTTCACAATTGATCTGATAGTTTAGTTCATAGAACATTGAAGACAATGATTATCTTGTTACTATACCTGAGTACATAATAACAACGTGATGTTATTAACCATAATATCAAGATACAATCTTAGTCGTCAATAATCGCTAACCTTGTTAAAATGACCTCCCAACACAGCCCATATTCGTGACAATTGCAGCCGAATACGACCCATATTGTAATAAGCAATCTACGATCTTCTGCAGACTAAACATACGTATCATTGTAGGATTGGAAAGCTCAACTTCCGAGACTTGACGTAAACCTTCCACGAAATCGACTTAGGAGAAAAACGAAAACATTTTGAGATTTGGATACAGGAGATAACGATACTTGGGATTTGAGAACTAGGGATTTGCATACTGGGGATTTGGGATACTTGGGATTTGGATACTTGGGATTTGGTATTTAGGAACAGGGAATTTGGGTACTAGAAATTTGGGCACTTGGGATTTCGGGTATTGGAGATTTGGGTACTTGGGATAAAGAATGGTCAGTGAATTATGGTCAAGTTAGATGTATAAAAATCTTATGTAAGATGCATTTTAATGTATACATGCAAACCTACCGATAGCATCACCATCCAGTTTCACTGATCCCGTGAAAACTCTAAACGTAATAAAACACAATGAAGAAGTTGAGATGAAGATATTATGCTGAGAGAACATAACGTATGGAGAGTGCACGAGTTCTTCAAAATTATAGTTTTATGTTTATGTTCAAGGTTCTCTGGTTCACTTGAGCCAGAAGATGACTACCGCTAAGGATGTCAAAACGTTAGTCAACAACAACAATAACAGTCCTTCTCAGGACTCTGCTAACATGGACAATGAACATGTCTACATAGCGAATCATCCATCGACATTTCTTGCTGTTACAAGCCCCACTCTAGCTTAAAGACAACTTAAAGATTCTTGGGACGGGGGGGGGGGCAGAGGTGAAGCCAGGACGCTGAATGGAAGGGGTGAATATTCATGTATTTAGTTTTCATTGAATGATTTGGTTTAAAAGCTATTTTAATTTGAAAAGAAATTAGTTGGTCACAGCGGAATATATGACCATATATATGAATATTCACCCCTCCCCTGCATTAACGTTCTAGCTTCGCCCCTGGGGTGGGAGATAGGTCACAAAACACAATCCACATAGCTATCATTAAAGTAAACGTTACCTGTCAACTGCAACGACAACACTTTGTGCAGCGGTCTCCCCAATGGCTTACTGTGAGCCAGCCGCTTTTTTCGAGTCAGCGGCAACAGGCATCCGACCTTCATTGAAATACAAGCAAAGAAAAGCACCCAACGTTAGTATTTGACATTTTTCTACGAGCGTCACAACAATGTTAGAAGCAACCTGAGGTTATATCATAAGATGTCTTGTTGTTTGCGATGAATGCTGTGGGTGAATTAGTATTACCGCTGGACGCCGTGTGAAGGTATCGCGTTTTCACACCAGTACCGATAAGTTGAGCCAATTCAAGTTGGGAAATGCATTTCAGTATCTAGAATGAAAACAATGACTTTAGGGAAACGTAAAAAGATGCGCCTAGCGGAACAAGCATTTGAGCAACGAAAACGAGTGTCCAACAAGACGAACATAAGCGTCTTTCTTGAGAAAAATATTCCTGGTTCATTTTCTTATAAATAATCATTACTGATGTACATTTGTGATACGATTCTCTGATGAAGGGTATGAAATACGGTCAACAAAGCACTTGGAAAAATGAAAGTTAAAGACTGTAGAAATATCGTGAAGTTTCCACTACAGACAAGACCTAGACTTTTTCCTTTGATGAAAAAAACAATCGATCATATTTTTAGTCGTAGACACCAACCATAATATATAGCAAGATGATTCTCTCTACCTCGAGCCAAGATTTCCCGATGTAATTACCATCCGTTTGAGCGATGGTAAGAAGTGTCTTGATCGTCTCGATGTTCTTTGTTTTCATTTCATGAATATGGGTGCCACTGGTCGCAGTAAGTAAAGTGAACCTGGATAGCGCTTGTACGAAAGCATCTCTTTCCAACTACAATGTGAAAAGAGTTATTAGGAGTATCGAAAAATGAACTTAATGGTAAAGAATCTCCATTCATATTCCCTAACATCATTATAACTAACTGTAATCATTGAAAAACTTTTACGTAAAAATTATTTCACATTCACATGCATCCTGATATATCCATATATGTACACAAACAGACAATTAATTCAAAGGTAAGCAAACATCTGTTTTTATTGTATACACATGAGTATCATCTTAACCTTGAACATATAACACGCAAAGAACACGACGTGTATGTAACTACGTAAATATATTTATAAATTTCAACAATTCAACATTCAACATATTTTTGAATATGTATTTATGTCCGGGAAAGGGTCACCAGGGGATGAAAAGGTATGCAGAGGCATTAATGTTGTTATTTCATACCCAAATATATTAAAATGAACAGAATGTTGTGTGTTTATCAACTTACAGGCATGCTGAATATGCAAGATATTCGTATTGCACAGCGGATTCCATCAAGACAAAATGAAGCAACAGAAGGATCGTCGTTGTCTTGTAGATTGACGCTGAGCGCGGCAAGAAACGGACTCCATGCAACCTTAAACACACAAAATAAAATGGTCAACAATGGGGACTGGGGCCGGTTGTAAGAAGCAGATTTAAAGTAGTGGATTTTCTCAATAGAAAATCCAGTTAAATCATTCATTGGTAAGTTTAAAGATTAGATTATCAAACAAATTTACTCTTAGTCGTCGCAAATATTCATTACATAAAATCTAAGTCTTTTCTTTAAAAAGATTAAGATGAATTCATCATGTTTTGGAATCTACGCTTCCCGCACTTGGCATTGTCCGTATAAGTTGACATCACAATTAACGCTTCGTTAATCAATCCTTACATACACCACAAACACCGTACCTTCAACATTGTCTTCACGTGACCAATCTGTCTCGCCGTGACAAAATCCGTCTGAATATGACTCACGTCTTCCATTTGTGTTTTGGCGTTTTTCGCCATCTGCTCCATTTCCATAGAATACAACATACGACGATGTTTCGCACTTTGCAAATCTGTAAAGTGGAAGCACAATAAAAAATCTCTTTACTTTCATGAAAATGCATTGGAGCTCTCTTAAGACCAACACCGAACATCACAATATCCATTATAAGCCCCTTTCCTACACCCATCTCAAGACCAACACCTCCATCTCAAGACCTTCACCTTTATCTCAGAGCTAGGATTCTACACTTCGCAGTCCAGACCTTTACCTAGCATCTGTACAATTTTTTCAGTTAAGCCTTGATTCTCGTATTAATGTTGCAATACATACATGTAGCATCGTATCTACTGTTCACTTTTGGTGTATGTTTCATCTTGATTTCATTCTGTGCAATATCATCATAAATTGCTTCAAGATATTAAGATGGAAAATCTTTACTGTCATTTATACCACGATTCATTTGAATGTACTGTTCTTTCGTTATCTTTCGTTTAACCTGAAAGAAAATTTCACATGATTACGATGTCGCATCTAAAGGCTAAATTTTCACGTGATTCTAATGAAGGCTCCATATCAACGCCATGAAAATCTCGCGTGACCACAATGGAGTCACGTGATCTTGGACATAAAGTCACTTTTATAGAAAACCATTGCAAATGAAGTAAGTCTGTGTAACCTGTGAACTATGTAGATCAGTAGTCAACATGATGATAGAATAAGCCAGAACGTAGGCAGCGTCTGCACTAGCAAACACATCGTCACTAAAATATAAATGATAAATATAAAATAAAAGTTTATTATAGACAGTCTAACCTAGCTATATCTAGACATGTTTGTACATGAGTAAGGTTGTAGAAACGTCAGTCACATCAACAACAACAGTCCTTCTCAGGACTCTACAAACCTGGATGATATACATCTACAAACATGTAACAATACTCCCAGTTCAAACAACTCACTTTACATCTATCTAACAGCAGATTGCAGCCCTCAAAACTCGAATAATAAAAGTTCGATGAGAAAATACTTAAAAGAAAACCAAAAATCGTCAAAAACCTGTTCTAAATTATTGTTGATGTTAAATGAAAAAAAAATTAACACATGGTTCATAGACAAAAGTCATTTCGTAAGTTTCATTAACCAGCCTGCAATGCGAGATGTAAAACAACACATAACAAGACACAAATCATGTCCTTACTTTGGGTTCGTTTCACTGAACCTACTCGCAAACTTCTCCATGAGTCGATCGATCTTTTGCGCTTCGCCGGGAAGCCGGAAGTTATGTAAGAACAATCACAGAGCTTGCACAAGATTGGTACCAGTGAAATCCAACTGATCTATATAGGCGTACATTATCTCCCGTTCATATCTAAAAAGTATAGGAAGACACGAGGAACAGTTGAGGGAATGAAGAACAGTTGAGGACATGACGAATAATAGATCTAAGTCTACTATTGTTTGCTTATTTTGAACAGTAGCAAATGTTACTGAATTCTGTCAGTATTATTCACTGGATAGAGAAAGTTTGAGCATTCAAAAAATTGCTTTGTTTTTTATGGACAAAATTACCAAGAGATTTGAAGATAATGCTTAGTTTCAAACAGCTTTTGTCCTTTTACATGGAGTTTAATGCAACCTTAAACATATTTTAAACATTCTTGATTTTACGATTAAATTTTCTGATTTACTATTTCATGTATCATGAGCAAAACATCCATGGCCTTCATGGCAAATTAACATAATCAACTTTTCTTGACTCAATTAATGTTGAAATAAATACTTAAGATGAGAACCAAACGTCTTAACGTGATTTTCACGTGATTATCACGCGAGGGAGATGTGAAAAACATACTTACTGTCCTGGATCACCAATCAGCTCACCAATCATAGTCTAAAACCATAAAACGCAACACTGGGTTAAAATCCAAAGCAACATTTAATGTTTCTACAAATTCCTCAAAGACAGTGTGCAAATGTCCCAAAATGAAAACTTTAGTGAAAGAAGACAACATCATGTGAAATAAAACATAAGGATTGCAAGGGATATAGATGGTCTAAAATGATCATCACTTTGTCTAGTACATCATAAACATAAGGATTGCAAGGGATATAGATGGTCTAAAATGATCATCACTTTGTCTAGTACATCATAAACATAAGGATTGCAAGGGATATAGATGGTCTAAAATGATCATCACTTTGTCTAGTACATCATAAACATAAGGATCGCAAGGGATATAGATGGTCTAAAATGATCATCACTTTGTCTAGTACATCATAAACATAAGGATTGCAAGGGATATAGATGGTCTAAAATGATCATCACTTTGTCTAGTACATCATAAACATAAGGATTGCAAGGGATATAGATGGTCTAAAATTATCATCACCTTGTCTAGTGTATCATAAGAGGTTAGCATAGATCATTAAAAGATAGCCTAGATCACCGGAAAGATAGTATAGATTATTGAGAGATAGACTAGAACATTGAGGGTAGTATGGGTCAATAATGAGTAACTATAAACATTAAGATATTGCCAAAATCCACCGCGAGACCAGCAAGGGTAAGTAAGATAACTAAGGGATAACTTAGATCCTGAGAGGTTAACTACAATTGTTGAACAACTAGTTACAATTAAGAACATTAACGTGTGTATAAGAAAATAATGGAGTATCTTCAATAAATAGGGGATACAGAGTATAGAAAGATGGAATTAGAGAGAAAAATCGTCAGTGTAGCCGATATCAAAAGAGGGTACAATGGATCATAAAAGCGACATATTTTACATGCATCAGATGTTAAAACTCACCAAAATTATCGTCCACCTGAGAATCAGGTTTAAAGTAAAGATCCCTGCTCCATTCTACCATACATTTAAGAATAGAAACGAGACATTCCAGACCTTTGATACGAATACTGCGTTCTTGAACCTGGAAAAATCATATAAAAATAAGACGACATTGATACTATTCATATAAAAACGTGATAAAAAGATGTATTATAATCAACATTGTTTGCACAAAATATTAGAGACATGTTCTAGTCCTTTTCATATTGATAGACTATGCTCCAGTTTTTTCATGTTGATAGACTATGTCCCAGTCCTTTTCATAATAATAGACTACGTTCCAGTCCCTATCGAGTGGCATAGATATGAACAAGAGAATGTAGAGAAGTAAACATTATGAAACATATTCATCAACTTACTGGTGTCGCTCCTAATTCAATAGCTTGACGTCCTTGGGCAACTTTAGACAAATCATTGATCAATCTTTGAAAGATATTCGACAAAGCCAATTCACAGTCGTAATTTAAATATATATCAACGACCGTCTGTGCGTCTGCAATAGAGGACATAAATGGACATTAATGGCTAATATGAATGGATATTAATGGATGACAGGAAGATAACATCAAAAATTTGATTGTTTGGTATATTGATAATTACTAAGGGAAAGGTTACACCTCACCTAATGCACACCCACGAAGAAAATTCGAACGAGAAAATTGTGAAGACTGAATATAGGATGGGATTTGGAAATAAAAGATGCTTAATTTTTGTACAGGGTTAAGCAAACGGAAGAGACATTTGGTAGAACTGGAGACAATGTCAGTGCAAGCTTCACACCGAAAGTTGACGGTTTGCACCAGCTAGAGAGTTCTCACAAAAGTCTCAAGGTTTGAATAAGCCAGTACAAACACAAAAAACATCTTTTAGTTCTTTTGTAAATAATAGTAATGCAAAACAGACAACTTTAAGAAAAAAGTTTGAAATTTTTCTCTAACATGTATTTATGATTCATTTGCAAATTATCTTTGATTGATATAATTGATGTAGCTCAAATACGCAGGTTTGTACAGGCTAATGCAAACACAGCTACAGAGCAATCATTTCACGCGTTATATTATTGTTAGTAAATGGATTAAAGTGCAGATGAACGAGATTGGATAGACGAAATGTACAGGTGTACACGTAAGATGAATTGGATAGACGAAATGTACAGGTGTACACGTAAGATGAATTGATAGACGAAATGTACAGGTGTACACGTAAGATGAATTGGATAGACGAAATGTACAGGTGTACACGTAAGATGAATTGGATAGACGAAATGTACAGGTGTACACGTAAGATGAACTGGATAGACGAAACAAAGAGGTGTACACGTAAGATGGATAGACGAAATGTACAGGTGTAACGTAAGATGAATTGGATGAAACACAGGTAACACGTAAGATGGAATTGGATAGACGAAATGTACAGGTGTACATGTAAGATGAATGGATGGACGAAATGTACAGGTACACGTAAGATGAATTGGATAGACGAAATGTACAGGTACACGTAAGATGAATTGGATGGACGAAATGTACAGGTGTACACGTAAATAATGTAGATGAATGTGGATAGACGAATGTGGAAGTAATGTAAGATGAATTGGATAGACGAAATGTACAGGTATACGTAAGATGAATTGATAGACGAATGGAATGTACAAAGATGAATTGGATAGACGAAATGAATTGATGTAATGTAAATGGATGTAATAAGATGAATGGATAGACCAAATGTACAGGTGATGAATTGGATAGACCAAATGTACAGGTGTATGAATGGATGGAATGGATGACCAAGATGGAATGGAAATAAGAAGATGGATAGAATGAATGGATGGTGTACAACGTAAGATGAATGGATAGACGAAATGTACAGGTGTACACGTAAGATGAATTGGATAGACGAAATGTACAGGTGTATACGTAAGATGAATTGGATAGACGAAATGTACAGGTGTACACGTAAGATGAATTGGATAGACGAAATGTACAGGTGTACACGTAAGATGAATTGGATAGACCAAATGTACAGGTGTACACGTAAGATGAATTGAGGTACAAACGCAAGGCATTCAATGGATGATTGTAACGAATGGATTGAAAGATTGGTGAGTAAATGGATAAGAAGGAATACATGAAAAATTGACGAAATTTTGATGAACTGAAGTGATGTACACAAACTTACATGACAATGATGAAATTACCTGAACATATTCTAGTTAACGTCCCCATCACCATCCATTTATGTTGAAAAGAACTTGTCGACGTTTCCAAAATGTTTAAGAAAATATCTTTGAAGAACACCTGGTCGAAATTATACAATATAACATAAAGTACTAACCTAAGTCGTCTGGTTACGACACGGAAATTATAGCAAAAAAGTGAAAAGTTTTGAAATGTTAAAAATATCAGCGCTTATTGCAGCAGCAAACAAAATTATCAAACAAACGAAACAATTAACATTTCACGGAAAGTTTACACTATAATATCGGATCCATGATTGATCTAAATCATAGTTTCGACAGAATCTAAAATGTCACGTGAAAGTTTAATTCCTAAAACTCACCTCAATCTGCATTTTCAAATGTGTCTTGAAGTACGACAAAAGTGTGAGAAAGATTGCCAACGATAGTTCAAACACAGCAGGAACAGATGAGACGCCATTCTTTGATAATGCGACGCATAAATTTTGTTTTATAGGGTTGATAAACATTGGATGAGTACGGAAAACAGGTCCGGCACTTTGTAGACAAGTTAACAGCAACTCCAGTGAGAGAATTTTAGATCTGAGTTCATGCGATCTGAAAATAATGAAAGGTTTTTTTATCGCGAGTAAATCTTAAAAGCTAATGCTAAAATCATTCTTTAAAAAAGTACTGATAGAGCTATCTTGTATATGTCAGGTCAATTTAGTTGAGTTCAATTTGTTCATGTAGTACATAAAGTTATATCAATAAGAGATGACCTTTAACTGCATGATCTTTAAGAACAGTTAAGATCTTAGTTAGAGATATCTATAGTACGTTTGTTGGATTTAGGTTTCCTTCTGTAGTAATATTGGATCAAGAAGATATAAACGAACAGTTTGATACATGTATCTTAGTATCAAAAATAAGTCGAAGTTTCTGTATTAAAGATATTCATGATGAGATGAACTGATAGTACAATATAAATTAGCACAAACCACTCATTTTGAAGTGACTTATGATCAATGAGAGTTTTACACATTATCAACATACATCTCAAAAAAAAAACTGTAGATAACTTACTTGGGATCCAACGGTCCTTCCGCAAGCGGTTTCATCGATAGTTTACACAATGACCTAAACACCAAGAATGCATCCTTCTGAGTGATATGAGAAAATCTTTGTTGAGGTGGCTTGCCTTCACTTGACGTCTCGCTGGGCATATCAGACTGAGACTCGGAGACGGAACTTCGTGCAGTTTCATTCCCATCATCCTCCTTGGGCTCTGAAACTTCGCTAGTTGTCGAGTCATTTGCCTTTGCTCCTGAATCAACATCAACGCTATTTTGACCCAGCGTCTTGTCACCTTTCAGAAATCCTCTAAATGGTTTGAACATTTACTGACGATAAAAAATATTTCACATAATGTAAAACAATGAAACATCCATCTCACGTACAACAAACCTGTTGTATTTTATTTCAAATTTCACACTTTGTCGTCGAAATATTCTCGCCAACGATCGGTTTTTTCTGTCGATAGATATCTTAAACTTTTGATCAAATTCTATACGAAAAAACAGCGTAATTGATCATTGATGTAGGATAATGAATTTAATGAGGGGGGAAGGTTCTAGCATATCAAAAAAGCTTACAACCACAACATTGGATATTATTGACGTCTCGAGAACTGAAGTAAAACGACCATTTTGTTCCTTGTAAAAATACTCATCCCCAGTCCCTATTGCCACTCCAATAACCACGACATAAGATATTATTGACGTCATGAATATTTAAGTAAAACGACCATTCTGTCCCTAGTAAAAATACTCCTCCCCAGTCTCCATTGCCACTCCAATAACCACAACATAGGATATTAATGACGTCATGAGTACTGAAGTAACACGACCATTCTGTCCATAGCATTGAACTAAAATACATGGAACGCTACCTGTAATACAAAACCTTAATAATTTTTTGAAGCCGTGATTTTGCCCCAGACACGCGTGTGTAGTCAATCAATTGTCACTCCGCGAGAGAAGCTCGAAACGGTAAACACGCGTGTCTGGGGTAAAATCTCGCGGGTCTGGCGTAAGATATGGCTTCAATTATTTGCTTGAGGTAGCGTTCCACGTATTTTAGTTCAATGGTCCATAGTAAAGCAACTACTCCCCAGTCCCCACTCACCCCTCAATACAAGATCATGCAGGGATCCAATGCTGTATGATTTCATTCATTTCGAATAAAACTTACCAGGATTAATGTTGTGTTTGATGGTTTCCGTGAAACCAGTTTGAGGTTGATCCTAAAGTTGAGTAATTTTAAAATTTAGTGTAGACAAATAACATTGATTTAAGAAAAAGTGAGAAAGTGTTTGTTACATGAGCAAAATCTGTCGTTTGCAAAACATAGAATTTGTTCAACGGTAATGAGAACAACTGCTTGAACAATGATTATATTGTCTAACAAAATTGTTAACAATGCTTCCATTGTTTGTCACAATTGTACGCTCTTGCGTTGAGTCTAATCATGCAAAGATGTCAATTCACTGTCATGTTGGTGAATCATTGTAGTGTGAATGTGATTTTTTTATAAAATAAACACAATGAAAGGCGTGCGCTGATTGGTCTAGAGCCGTGTTTGCATTAGCCTGTGCAAAACACATCTGAGCTCAACCAATCAACTGAATGAAAACAATTAATCAGTCTAAGAGAATTTGCAAATCGATCATGAATACATTTTTGAGGAAAAATTAAAATGTTTATCTTTTCCGCATTATTGTTTATTTATAAAAGAAATAAAAAATGTTTTTCGTGTTTGCACAGGCTTATGCAAACCTCGGAGACGTTTGTGAGAACTCTCGAGCTTGTGCAACCCTCAACCTTCGGTCTCAGGCTTGCACTGATCTGCTGTCAAAGGTCTACTTCGTTTGCATAAGTCTGTGCAAACACAGTAAACATCTTTTATTTCTTAAATTAAACATAAACAAAACTTACGTTTGGAAAGGGAAATTCATAGGACACATACACTTTCATATCGTCTTTGTTGTAACCTTGAAGTATATTGAAATTTTTTAAAGATTGATTTTTAAGGTTTATAGAAGTATGTATCAGATCAAACATCCATTGTTTGACCTGACACTTATTAATCCTCTAGACACTTATTAATCCTCTAGACACCTTATCAGTGTGCGAATTAGTTCAGAAAAAACGGTGTGCAATTTTTTTGACAAAAGTGTTTCTTTAGAGGCGTAATCAAATCGATATTACATTAATTATTATACAGCGCTAATTGCTAAATTAATATTTTTAAACGTGCACAAATCCATATGATTTACGACAGTGTTTTTCGTTACAACCGCTGGTCCAGATACAAATGTAGGAGAGAAAATTTTTTCGCATGTTATTCTCTCCTCTTTTTTGTGCAAACTTTACACCGCAATAAATTCACCACTTGGCCATCATCCTAGTAATCAAACAAGTCAGCATTTGATGTTTCCGTCCATTTTTTTACTGTACTAACTTTGCCGGTAGGTACAACATTTCGACGAAGATGACAAGAACGACAAAAGTGAAAAGAGAATAACCGAATATACTTTTGCTTTCTGATTATTAACAGCAACATCCTTGATGTTTGCTTACGATAAAAAACATCATATTTATGTCATATTACAAAAAAGTGTGGCTGATCAAGGTTGCCAGTTTGGCTTAATATTTTGAGCCAAATTTGGCTTCTTTTTCTCACGTTAGGCTTATTTAAAATCAAAACTCCCTTTTGTTTACTCTTCAAATTTGGCTTATTTAAGTTTTTTTTGTCTTCATTTAAGAGTCAAAATCAAAATGTTTCCCGATTTTCATGAAAATACTCAAAATAGCTATAATGCCAAAAACAGTAACGGTTTACAAAACAACGCAAATGCAAAAATTGTCATTAATAATGTATGACACCCCTATTGTCATAAGCATATAAGAACCATGTATGTAGACTGTTGACAGACTTCCCAGTCTCAGTGACAACGTCTTTGAATTTGATGACATTGTGTCAACATGGATTTTAATGTCGTGCAGCGCACTCGTTTATAAAGTAAAGATCAGTAAAGATTAAGCTTGAAAACTTTTTTCAATTTATGTGGTGGTAATCAATAAAGAAGTTTTTTGCATATCGTTTGAAAAAGTGATGTGCAATTTTTTTCATTTTAGCTAAAACGATGTGTAAATTGCACATTGCACACCGTTAATTCGCACACTGCACCTTATTAATCCACTATATTTTATACTAAATCCTAAAACGAAAAGATTTTAATCCAATTCAACAATGAAGGAAGTGAAATATTGATGCATTTGACGATTCTTAATTCACAATCCTGGTCACCCAAATCTGTATTCGATCTGTCAGGTTGAAAACAAAATAAACATAAAATAATTATGTTAGTGTTCGTTGGCTAAACTGTCAGGTTGAAAACAAAATAAACATAAAATAATTATGTTAGTGTTCGTTGGCTAAACTGTCAGGTTGAGAATAAAATAAACACAAAATAATTATGTTAGTGTTTGTTAGTTAGTTAAAGGTGTTCGTGAAATTACTGCACTAAAAGCAACAAACAAAACTAACTTTACATACAGTAGCGTAGTCAGTCTTCGAATTTAGTCCCTCAAACCAAATGTTAGAACATTATTATTTGTGAACTTAATGTTGGGATGTTGATGGTTTAAGTAGGTAAGAAAGAGTTGCACAGGGTTTAGATGGGTGAGAAAGGGTTTTATAGGGTTTAAATACATAGGTGACAAAGGGTTGCACAGGGTTTAGATAGGTGACAAAGGGTTGCATAGGGTTTAAATACATAGGTGAGAAAGGGCTTCATAGGGTTTAAATACATAGGTGAGAAAGGGTTGCACAGGGTTTAGATAGGTGAGAAACGGTTAAATAGGGGTTAAATACATAGGTGAGAAAGGGTTTCATAGGGTTTAGATAGGTGAGAAACGGTTACAAAAAGTAACATGACTTGCCTCGCGAGTGTCGAATGGCGAGTGGCGAGTGACTCGCGATGCAGTTGCGAGTCACTCTCGAGTGCGAGAAGTTTGCGAATGAATAAGTGACTCGCTGTTTGCGAGTCAATAAAATAATTCGCTGTTTACGAGTGAATCGAAATAACTCGCAAAAATTTCTTTCTCCAGTATTTGACAAACATAATCTTAAGTGTAGTGACAAGTAAAATTCGTTCAACATTTTGAAGGCAACGGTTTTATATCTTTTTATGAAACATGGAAGCAAAACGACTATTCATTTGAAGCAATATCTCGGGACATAATGACGTTAAAATCTTTTGAATTTTTTTACAGAAGCATTTTAATAACTTCACATTTTCCATGGCACAAACGTTATTCGTAAAGCGGTAGAGACCATAGAGAAATGTAAAGTAAATGTCACGCAATCAATGAGTAAATGGAAATAGCGCTCAAACATTTTCTTCTAACTGTCTTAGATTATGGACATATATAATCTTAGGAAAGAATGCATTAAAAAGACGAATATTCTTTAAAGCTAAATATTTAAGGAATGTAGCTATGCGATGAGTGTACGTATAATCTTTTGAATTTGGTTCTGAAACGACTTCACGTCGACAAAAATGAATGGGATGGTGTGATTTTACTTGTCACTACACTTAAGATTATGTTTGTCAATTTCGAATACTGGAGAAAGAAATTTTTGCGAGTTATTTCGATTCACTCGCAAACATCGAGTTATTTTATTCACTCGCAAACTTCTCGCACTCGAGAGTCACTCGCCATTCGATACTCGCTTGTCAAGTCATGTTACTCGAGGTCGGTACTGTAGAGTTTAAATACATAGGCGAGAAAGGGTTACACAGGGTTTAGATAGGTGAGAAAGCGTTGCACACCGTCACCATGACTCTTTTCCTTCTTCCTCACCCTAACAAATCCCTCATCTTAAATAGTATTAAAACCCTATTTATCCTAACCCCACCCCACAGTGTCCAACACTGAAAGAAATTACGCCAAATTATGAAATCTTAATTGACATTAAGAGCAGAATGTAAAACGCTATTTCTAGTTCGAAATTTATTCAAAATCCACTCAAAATAAAAGAAAAGAGAAAATACATTCACTGGTTTTTAAAGATTAAAATAAACACAGTAAGATAATAATCACCTTACGTTATGAAATGTTCTGTTTTCATAATGATAACGTGGAGGAGGACTACCATGTTTGAAAGAACTTTGTAAAGAATCGTAATCATGTCGACAGTTTATCTCCAATTTCTCAAACCTTAAATAAAAGTAGAAATAAGTACAAAATATCTCAAATGTTTCAAAAGGTTCAACTTTCTTGTGATTGTAAGCTCCCCCTCATTCAGTAAAAATCCCCCCCTGCAAAAAAAGAAACCGACAGACAGAAACAAATCAAAATTTCACCTCTATATAGATCCGCCAGAAGGACAGGGTCCAGTTATGTCATGATTATGTGCACGCTCCAGGGGGGCAGCAATAACATGAAAAAAATGAGCAACTAAAAACATTACTTTGGACTAATCCATGATGACAATACACAATTGACATTCACACACAGACAAATTTCCTGTACACACAATATATGATGACGAATGAACCTGACAACAAATATGGAAAACCTGACTTTTACTCCTCACTTTATTCTGGAGATGACTACCACTAAGAATTACAAAACATCAATTAACATCAACAACAACAATCCTTCTCATGACTGCACAAATCTGAACAATCTACATCTACAAACATGTAACAATACTCCCAGGTGTAAATCATTCACTTTATTACAAACAAACTATTATATATTAGTACAGACCAGTGGCTACTGATATGAATGCCATCTTTAAAATTTAAAATTTTACATGACAAATTCAAACAGAAAAATAAACTATATATTTAGAGTTTGAATATCTGAGAATGCAGACTATACATATGTGGAGGAAAGAAAATTATCAAAGAATGTTGTGGATCTTTCAAAATGTTACAACTGTCTGTTTAATAGTCCGTTCACACTTTATATGTTCTTTTGAGTTTATTATCTAAGGTGAACTATTTGTTTTTGTATTTATATGAATGGGGCAGTGAAGGTGTTCATATGCACAAAACAATTGGTTTTTAGCAAAATTTTGAATCTCCCATGAAAAATTTACAACAAAAATTCAACAAGGTAATTAAAGTAATATCAACTCAGTTATACTTTCAAAACTAGCGATAAACTATGGCTATGCAAAGAATTAATAAAAAGCTACACTCTCGAAGAGTTCACAAAAAATTTACACAAACTGTACGACCAAAATAAGGAAAATGAAAGAATTTTGCTACGAGTTATCAATGACAATGAATGAATGTCGATGATGCCATGTTCGCATTATTTTGTCGAGCTATGAACTATAACAATATTCTCTGTTTAAGTTTTTATTAAGTAAATAGTGATGTCGGATGAATAGCTTTAGAACATTGAGTTTTGATGTCGTTAAACATTCACGGTGTACATTAAAAAAACACAATTGATTTTATTAAACTTTCTGATGATCAGTGAAAGACTCTCAATGAAAACAAAAGGTTTCCAAAGAAATAAATGATCATAAAGTTCCGAAATTTTCATAGCGTGACTAAACTTGAGAACTGACTACGCTACTTAACACAATCGCTTTTATAGAAAATTGATCGATGGTATTTCAAATATTAGTTGTTTATATAAATACCTTGGTAGAAGCCTTCAAACTTTGGCGGTACTTGTCTTCTTTGGCATAAGAGAAAACTTCAAGCAAAGTACAAATGATTAAATATGGTTTATTACATTGAAACAAGAAGGAAAAGTTTCTCCCCCAAATAAAAATGAAAATAACAAATTAGAAACAGGAAACATATAGATGTCGTACTTCATGTAAGAAAAGATATAATGTCTTTTAACAAAGGCTCCTTTGATGAGGTATAGGCTTCTCTGCACTAGGTTAAATTAATTTTATTTGGCATTTTCCGTTTTTGTTAAGTACTTTCAGTAAGATATGTTAGTTAAGTTGTAAAGGTAACAAACGTTGGTATCTATGTTTAAAATGGTTGAACGAGCATACAGATTTTGTTTGAGTGGTCTGCTTTGATTTTGGTAAAACCTTTGATTCAGTTTCAAATAACGTCGTAGTTTTTTTTTTTTACAATCTGACTCCGGTTACTTTGTGT